AATTCAGTGAATATGAGTTACATTTTCCATGCCTGAGCTCACTGCTGTGTTCACCATTGCCCAAATCAAAACTGAGTCAAGAGACAGCAGTCAGTTTTCACAAGACTGGCTGGTTGAAACAGGTTGTGCTGGCTGCCTTCTACAAAGTCCGTCTGGCATCGAGCACAGAATATGATCTGGGTTTCAGCCCTAGAGCAAAAGCGAAGAAATGCTGCCTTACTTTAGCAGACTAGCAGGATGAAATTGGTAGTTGGTATAATTTAAAACAGTATTATAGAAATCCTGGTTTATGTTGCTGCTTTGGTTGTTCCTAGGCAGCTTTTAGAGCTATGCTGCATTATTTAGGGTGTCTAGAAGTGCTATCAAAGGAGTCAGATAATCAAAGGAGTCTTGCAAATCCAGAAACTGTGAACTCTCTGCTCAGATATACAGAAGCTTTGATAAATCCTGCTGAATAAGAATTAATTCTGAGGGACTTCTCCAACATTTATTAGTCATAAAAGAATAAGATGACAAAAGATGCAGCAATCCTTCAAAGAATCATTACTTTGTCGGTTTCAGAAAAAACACAGAACTTAAACTCTCATTAGGAATAAAACATTGGTACCCTTATTCTTACCTAATTTCCAAGTTATTTAATGAATTGGCATGCAACAAATACCTTCCCTCTGAATGGGTATTACAACACACAGTACCCAGGTGAGAGACTTTAACAGACACCAGAATTTCCAGGATCTCTGAAACAGCATTCTGGTAGTTTGGGGAAGTTTGCATGACACAGCTAAGCCCAGTTGCCAAAGGAAAAGAAACTTTTGCAACTGTGATGTCTTGCTTAGCAACTTGACTACTTTTTAATCAACTTAAGAAAGATGAAAAAAAATTCTTAGAGAAAAGTGACATTCCTACACATTTCAAAGCAGTGATTCTAATGAAAGAAAAGCTGTGATTAAAGTTCTACTGTTAATAGTTGTTTTGGAGTATGGACTGCTTGCTTAACACATGGAAGCCAAACCACGATACTTCTAATTAGGAAACAAAAGAAATTGAGGTGTTTTTCATGAACAGAATTCATCTAAAAATGCAAACACATTGGTAATAAGAACTATTTTCTGAACTCCCAAATATCTCTTTAGTTTTTGCTCTCATTCTGATGCTAAGCAGATATGGGATATATCTCATTGGTCTTTAAAAAAACCCCAACAGTCTAAGGTAAAATATGTACCTAGATTGTTGCCATATACCTATTCCACAGTGTGGGAGTGTGATGATCTTCACACCGTTGGTGTTCTGTCAATGAGTGGTCATGGCAAAACAAGAAAGACAGTTACTGTATAGTACACCATAAGTTTTCCTTATAAATTATAGAGATGGAAGAGCTGAAATTAGCCATTCAGCTGAGCTCACGTTGTTGGTGTTATTTAAATCATGGTTTAAAACATATATGTAAAATATTACAAACTCAGAAGATGTTTTTAATTTCTTAGTCAGGACCTGTGGTATTTTCTCTTTTGGAATTTCGAAGTGTTCTTTTGATTGGATTTCAAGCTATGAGGCAAAAAAGGTAGTTTCACCTGAATACTGAAGTGCTGGAAGCAGAAGTGAAGACAGACAGACTTTACTATGACACTAGTTTCCAAACAGACTATGCTGAAATCAAACAGCTGCGAAAAACACAGACAAAAAAAAAAGTTTATTTTGTAGCAGAAGAAGGGGAGGTGCAAATTTCCCCCAAAGCTACAATCCAATTAACAACAACAGGGGAATGTGAGAATAATCCTGTGTTTCATGTAATTGTCTTCCCCAAGCAAACTGGATACTGCCCCTAACTCTGCTACACAGAGTTCAAGAGATATGTATTAAGCTGTTCCAGGTACAGGTTTTGCAATGACAACTGACTGCAAATTCCACAGTAAATTAAGTAAATTTTTTTGGATTTGCAATTGCAGAGAAACTTGTCAAGTACTAGGGAAATATCCGTATATTTGCAATGCAGTTTTTTTAATGCTAATTAACCAGGAAGCTGAGACATACTAGGCAGGCATGAACAGGCATGCAAAATTGAGCATGAAAAATTAGTCTATATGATTGAGTAGTTAGGTACATGCCAGAGAGGAAAGCCATGCTGTTCTTTCTTGCCAAAGTAATTTTTAGTACCTTCTGAAGCACAGTCTGTATATCAATTTATAAACCTTAACCCTTACTTTAAAAAGAGGTATCTGAATGAACACAGTATAAAGAAACAGATTCAACCGATTGAATGAAAAAGTTTATTTCTTGACTACAACTGTAGGTCTCTGAACTCCTTTCAAACTACACTTTAGTGAACACTGGATTATTCTTGAGAGAAAGACTGCCAGCTAATTGCCAAAACTTGAACAAAAGAAAATGAAGCTGCAGCTGCCATTATGGGCCAAAGTCACATTTGTAGTAATGGACTTGTGTATGGTTATTTGTATGTCAGGATTTTTTTCCTTATAACAGCAACAACAAAATTATACTTGTGTGACACACATAACTGTTTCAAATACTCTGAAGTTTTATCAAGTAAGTTTTATAACAAATTTTTTATTACACATCATGTAGCAGAAACAGCCACATATATGCCTGCACATCCTGGGGTTTTATCCTTTGCCACTATGTGATGGTGAACCAAAACAAAACCTTAAGAATTAATATTCTTTATTAAAAACAATTTTATGTACCAAATTATGCAGGTACATAAAGTATCAACATTTAAGTCAGTGAAAAGGGAGAAAAATTTTCACTACCACAAGAGTTTTGTTATCCTGTTCAGATTTAGGTGTAACTTATTATCTGATGTTGTTGTAATAGGATATCATTTCAATTATCTAAAGCTCTAAATCTGACATTGTAGCTTCATTACATAGTCTCGCTCCACAGCATTACATATTAATATTACTCTCGGGATAAAGAGAACATCTCATCAAATTTTTTAAGAAAACAGAATTTTAGGCTGGCATGGATTGAGGGAAACTTTCTTTAAATCTTGTTTTTCCAAAACAGTTTTTTTTAGTGTGTTGTTTAAACTCTCTTCTCCTCATTCTTCTACAGGCCAACTTAGTAACTTTGACTATAATGGAAAACTGAAATCTACATGAGAGTTTTCTCAATGGAAAAGACATGCTTATTATCTTCTTCCCAGTACAATCTCTCTCATTTGGTCTTTCTGCTGATTAACATTTAAAATCACAAAGAAGCAGTCATTTGGAGAAAGAGACTATGGAAAAATACAGGTCTCCTAACATGATTCTACAAAACCTTCAAAATAGAACTGAATACCTATAAAAAAGGGTCAAAACTAAATTTTTAATAAGTTTTGCTGTACTGTTTTTAAAATTCCTCTCAGTTTTCTAGAATAAGCCTATAGTAATCAGAATTGTACAGCTCAGTTAATAAAAAAAAGGTTCAGTGTTGCCCAGAGCAATTTTTTGCATGGTATATTAGGTCTAGTTAGCAAATTGGAAGAAACACTGCTGACATGACATAGAAAATGAATCCTTTAGCAGAACAAATTGAGAATAAAGGAATCACTCCATGTCTGGAATATAAAATTTGAGATTAGGCACACCTGACAAATAGGAATTTATTTCACAATAACAAACGCTTTAAATCCACAATTTATGAAGGCAGTTATAGGAGCCACTTATTTAAATTCATTGCTTAATGCACTGGCAGATGCTTCCTAATCATTAGAATGTAAGAGTTTGAGAACATTTTTTCAAAGGATGTGCTACGCCATTAGGCATCTTGTACTTCAACAACTATCAAATTTGTGATGATGTTTTTTATAAAGTTATGTTTATGATGGCAGGCATTCACTTAACATACTATAAAAACCAATAGCTAAAAATTTTATGTTATGACACAAAACCTCGGACCTATTTGCTGTGTTAACCTTAGCAAGTATTCCAGTTGGCAATGAGTACAAATCAAATACTGTTGTCAGCAGGATGAGTTGCATTTCAAGTTCCTTCCCATCAGCTGTCTCCAAGAAAAAAAAACAAATAGTGGAGCATCACTATTGCACCACAGGATTGCAAAAACCAACACAAGTCTTAAAGACATCCAGCATTATCAATAGATTTAAGCTTATACTAAATTATCTTAAATGTTAGCTTTACTAAAGAAGCAATAAACATTAATACCTGGAGGGGGATCAATTGAACATTGGATGTCCATGTATTTGGGACAAGGAAAACCAGGAATTATTTGATGCCAAATGAAAAATTCTATTAAGATATTATAAGTGTTTGTTCATATGAGACTTTGATACTTGCACTACAGTATACAAGGAATTTAAGAATATTACAAGTACTGAATTGTGAACATGTAGAATGCTTGCAGCTCAGAAAAGAGAGAATAAGCTTAGCCTTATTCTACAAATACCAGAAGTCTGAGTTATTCAATGCTCAATTATTGTGCCTAGATACATAAAATAACAAAGTTGTACCTTCAGAACACACTTAGTGTTTCGAAATAAATAAATTACAGGCAACCAAAGTGGACTGAAATGCAAAGTAGAATTTTGAGAGTGGATACAATACCTCATGATACATTATCCTCTTTTCTCTGCAGTAACAGAGAAGAAAACTTGGGTTCAGTAGACCACGGCTTTGCAGAAATGAGGGCAGCTTGCAAGTAAGTATTACTAATTTGGGCAAAGTTGTTGAAAAACAAAGAACTTAAGATGGCTCACTTTTTAGAACAGCATATTAATTAACCAGAAAAAGGCAAAATACTGATGTGAACAACAAACTTTACATTAAGAGCACTCATATGTTCAAAGTAGAAACACTGTGATGCCTGAAGTAGGCAGATAAGAACATACTAAGAAGAAAAGGCGAAGAGAAAGAGCAACAGCCTGCCTGAGAAGGACACTGAATACACAAAAAAGAGAGGAAAAGGCTAAAAATAAATAAAGAAAAGAAAAAAACAGAGAAGTTAAATTGCTCAGAAACATTTCCGGAAAGCTGACATACCACAAAGGAGTTCACAGTGAGTAAATCCAGGGAGATGTATAAGGTTTTGAAGACTTTTATGGGTTAAACTGCAAATGAGAGATGGAGTAGAACAGAAATACCACTGTAAGAAACCATACAAAGAAGAATCACAACACAGTACTGATTAAGCAAGCAACAGAGTATCGCAGTGAAATATAAATATAATCTAAAATATATACATAGATTTTCTTCCAATTAAAGCACAAACAGAAAAGTTCTAGGTTTGAAAAAATGTTTCTATTGATGTTCTCAGGCTGAATGGCAGTGAAGAAGTGCTTTCAGTCTATGCAGTTCAGATATGTGGACAACACTGACATGCTTCCCAAGATCAGCAGTAAGTGAAAAGAATTAAAAAAGGACACAATATTCTTTTGTGCTTGTATTTAGTGCTTTTGTGTTGAAGATGGTTCTGAAAAGAATTTATGAAACAATAAAAGCAGAAATATTAATTGAAGAGAAAAATAATACACTTTATACAAGAATTAAAACATTCTTTTAATAATGTTAAATATATGTTTATACTAATACTACTACTGTTATTTATTAATATAATATTTCTATATAATATATTGAACCATGGCATTACATTGAATAGTCTGCTGCAAAGTTGCAGATATAAAAACATCAGCTGTCTAGGAAGGTGTAAAACAAAGTTAGTATTATCTCACCTGTAAAATGTTGTAATATAGGTAGAAAAGTCTGGAATACTTTTTCTCTGTAATTCTATATATGCATATAGTGCATAGATTATTTCATCATATGAGGAACTATAAGAATAGGTCAATAATTTTCATGTACAAGGAAGAAAAATTTTACATCCCAAGACACAAAAAAACCTCCACAAACAAACAAACAAATAAACCCCCCAAAAAACAAAAAAAAAAAAACCAAGGTAATAAAAAAAAAAAAGAGTAAAAATTGAAGATTCTATATGAAGGAGAAAAACTGAATAAGTTAAGGACTGTATGTTGTCTAGTAAATTAAGATTTGGAATTGTTGAAATTAAAATTAATGCAGAAGAACAGCCTAACAAACTGATCAAAGATCTGGAAGCATTGTCAGAGAGGTCTGCATTCAAGCACATTTTTAAAAATGTTCCATTTATGAACATTTATATCATATTTTAGGTGGCTTAAGTAGTTATAAATTTAGCATTGAGATACTTACATATACTACAGTACTAGATGACTGAGTTCCTTGAGAACATTCATAAACTTTATCAAATTTGAGGTCATTATATATTATTTTCCTCTTTTCTTGGCATGTAGAATGGTCCAAGTTTTGTATTTTAAATTATCTACATTACAGTTGAACTATTATATTTTAAATTTTCTGTTAAAGAAGTACTTTTCCCCCAAACTTTTGTTCTAAGTCAAAAACTTTTGTACTCTATTTGTGGCACCCATAGCAGCTATGTGGAAATTAATAACAAATAAAACCACCTAGCACAGGAAAACTTACTGCATATATGGTAAACCTAAGACATGGTTCTCAAACATAGTGGCAGAAAAGAGAATGGATGTCTGGGCTTCCAAAGTTAGCATGAAGTTAGGATACAAAACACAGCCTTCACATATGTGATGGCAAAGAATTGTTTGCTTACACACCAAGTGCCTTCAGTCCCATTGTACACAGGCTCGGGCATTGTATGCAAATACATAGCACTGATATTTTTCACTGACACTTTAGTCACAACAGAATTTCAAGATAACATGTCAAATCCAATTATAATTTAAGATATTTTAACACATATGGTATTTTCTTAATAATTGACAGTGCTTGTAGTCCACTGAAACTAAGTAAAAACTCCAAGTTCGCATTTTAGATGTGAACTGGAGTGAAACTTATTCACTAGCTGAGCCTGAATGAAGGTCTAACAGGCAGAACACTGCATCAACTTGTGTATTTTGCCAAATTTATTTAATTCACTAATTTCCTACTGAATGAGACCAGGAAGTTCTAGTGTGGTCTTTCCTGCTTTCTCTAAATTAATTACAACAAAATTCCAGTCAACGATTCCAAGAAACCTCAGTGGTTTTGTCAGTTTTCAAAGCTTATCTATACAGGCAGACTTGCCTTAAATTTAACAACACGTACATTTAATCTGAAGACTGTTTCTCCACACATCCCATCACATACGTACAAAGGGTTATTCCCAGTGTCAGAGGAGCAGTTGGCTTCACAATGAATTTTGTCCCCTTTCACCTCTATGGACTTTCACAATTCCTTTCAGTTCTTACAGACTAATTAGGTAATTATTTTAGCACAAACAGTGATTTCTCAAAGTATCTTTTAATTAAGAACGAAAAAGAAGAAAGTTTGATACACACCTCTCTGGTTTATACATGATATGAAGGCCTAGTTAAAAAACCTCAAGGTGACTTTGACCTAAGCAGATTTCCAGTCCCATGATACTTGTAGAAGAACAGAAGTTTCTTCGCACCTGAAATAATTTGGGTGAAATGCTGATTCAAAAGAAGTCAATAAGCATTTTGCTATTGATTTCAACAGAGCCAATACTTCATTCTGATTGTTCATTGGTGATAGAATTTCAGAACATTAATATTTAGAAAGATATATAATATCGAGTAAGCCACATAATTGCATAGAAAAAGCTATAAAGTAAAACCATTTACTCTATATTAAAGAATTTCAATACAACATTTATTTCTACATAACATTTAGCTGCAGTAGACTAAACTGGCTGTCACAAGAAAAAAGAACTCAAGCTTTCAATATAAAAGAATAGGTTCTCAAATAACCTCAGGCAAGAGATTCAGCAAGTAAACTGCCAGCCACATTTTGGAGGTAAAAAATGTCTTTCTCCTGAGTTCCTTCTAAATTGACCTGGAGAGTACTTATTTAATGACCCAAAATATGGCTTACACTAAGCGACTGAACAAGAAAAAAACATGTAGGGGAAGCTTCATGACATCTTTCTAATTATCCACATCCAGTCTGGTATCACACACTTTGCATTTGAAGTTTCTCTGAGGCGAGGTCTTTTCTCTGCCCCCTAACAGAATACTTCTTTTAATTTTTACTTTTTTTTTTTTCCATCATAAGTGAACTATTACTTGCATACTCCAAAAGGTAACTAACAGATGAAGCCCTGACTTCTACTGCTGTGTCTACCTCCACAAGGAACAGGGATGGCTAGAAGCTACTGTACATAATGTATGTGCTCACCCTTCTCAAAGATTATGAAGGGAAGTAGATATGATCACTCATCAGGAAGAAAACAGATGATCACAGTCCTCAAAGTACTACCTGTACGATCTCTCAGTAGGAGAAGTCTACAATCCCACCTAAGCACCTTTTACATGTCCTAAAACCCCCTTAAATGATAGGGAATGTAGCATCTGCCTTGACAAAGTACTCCAAAATATAAACTGCACTAGGAAGTACATTTTTATATCTTCGCCTGAACAGTTTAAGAGCTATCTGTTACTGAACATCTTTCCTGTTTTTAAGTATATATCTCCAGTGATCCATATTCCCTCAAAAGCTAATCTGAACAGCTGGCATGCATTGCAACTGCACGCATTAGCAGGATTACATATTGCTCCCTACCAGTCCACATTTTTCCCTTCCTCTTTACACCTTGCTAACTCCAAAGAATGTGAATTAGTATATACACCACATAAATGATGTGAGGGCATTCCAGTGTGACACAAAGACAGTTTTAGTGTGACCGCACAGAAGACTCTTCAATCTTGCAATGTAACAACAGGAATCCATTAGCTTCTTTGTAATGGAAATCTTTATTCTTGTGGCAACACAGTATTTTCACATCTCTTGAAGTACACATACCTGAATAATTTGCAGTCAAATTTTACTCTACTATTTCATTAAATTCTCTGGACAAAAGGAAGAATTACTTTGCATCTGAAAGTCATCTTTTCACACACTCAAAGACAGATGCTATTAATGACACTACAGTTTAATATTGATGTTTAGGTTATGACTTAGAATGGTTCCTTTAAACCTCTCCCTAAGACAGTGCCTCCTCAAAACATGCTTCTGGTTTCAGGCAGACTGCCTTGAAGTACCATCTTAAGGGGGTTTAACAGGTATAAATTTGAACAGCAGCTTTTTGAAAGCTGAAAACGTAATACGCAGCAAAGAGATCCACAGTTGTCTAACACGTAGAAACATTTTATTTGAAAATGTCACCCTCAAATTTATTTTAAATAAATGCAGCACTCAGATCAGTTTATCATTCCTTCTACAAAAGTACTTCCATACTTAAGCTCACTTTGTGTCATGGTCTGAGCTTTTTTGAAATTGTATTTAAGCTGTGCATGAAACACTGTACTTATAGCAGTAAAAGTGCTTTTCTCTTCTAATAATCTTAAACTGTTTGCTCTTTCGTCCAGTGAGTGTCTAGAGGTTGTTTTGATTATGCTACTCTAAGCAAAAGACCTTGCTCCTGAATAGAAACAGTCTGCCTAAAGCCAATCATTTTACAGGCATTTTAGTTCTACAGGAGAAAACGTATGACCTGCTTTTTAATTCACGTCACTTTACAAGTTTTTTCCAACAGAGCGATAGAGTGGCAGATTACACTCTTGCACAGTTCTTCTGCATAGAACTCCACTTAGATAGCAGCTGACCCTTCTCTGTCCTTCCAAATAACTTAAGGCCAACAGCAAACTGTCAAGCTCTTGGAAAGAGACAAAGAGTAAATAGCAAAGATGATATAATAAACCCCTCTAAGATATCACTGATTTTCCTTCACCTCAAAAAGTAAAAATTTACACCTGTTCTTTCCTTATTCTGTCATGACAGCTTATTAGACCTCATTTTGTAACTTCTTCAAATCTACTTGATGATGAAACTTTCATCAGTTCAAGTGGGCTGTCAGCAATAGCACTCATGCCTGTTGATGCCTTCAAGGGATTTGAATAGATACATGAGGCAAGACTTCCCTCTATTGCCATGCTCCTCTCTCCAATGTGTCATATTTAATCATGTCTGCACTCCTACATATTACATCCTATAGTATCACTCTGTCAACTAGACAAAGGCTATGCCCTATGAGAAAGGCTGCTCTGTCAGGCCTGGCCAATGTCATATTGC